GCACAAGACGAAGCTGGAAAAAGTTCAGAGGTATGCCACTAGGCTAGTCCCAGAACTAAGAAGCATGAGTTATGAGGAAAGGCTGCGTGAAATGCACCTCATGACACTCGAAGACAGTGGAGTAAGGGGAGACATGATCACCACCTACAAAATTCTCAGAGAAATTGACAGGGTTGACCCCCTAATTTACCACCCGTGTTGCTTAACACGGGTGGTACGCGAACAAGGGGACACAGGTGGAAACTGAGTACCCAAATGAGCCACAGGGACGTTAGAAAGAACTTTTTCAGTGTCAGAGTAGTTAATAGATGGAATGCATTAGGCAGTGATGTGGTGGAGGCTGACTCCATACACAGTTTCAAGTGTAGATATGATAGAGCCCACCCTGGAAACACAAGCTGTAACTGTCTCTATTTTCTGCTTGTTACAACGTGTAATAAAGTTGTTACATCTTGGCTTAACGTGTTTATGACGTATTAGAACGTTGTTACAAATTGTTATATTGGTTGTTATAACTGGTTAGGAGGTGTTAAAACTTGTTCGAACGTTGTACTAACGTCGTAGTTTCGGTGTGTGTTTGACGGGCAGTAGGCTCAGGAATCTGTACACCAGTTGATTGACAGTTGAGAGGCGGTACCAAAGAGCCAAAGCTCAACCCCTGAAGGCACAAATAGGTGAGTACACACACAAACACACACACACACACACACACACACACACACACACACACACACACACACACACACACACACACACACACACTCGCGCGGTGCATGGTGACTGAGTGGACAGCACGCTGGATATGTAGATCTGTGGCCCGTGTTCGATCCCCGGCAATGGCGGAAACAAATGGGCAGAATTTCTTTCATCTTGATGCTCCTGTTATCTAGCAGTAAATAGGTACCTGGGAGTTAGACAGCCAGCCCATTCTCCGAATAGACAGTACGTTTTAATACTAAATGTAATAAGTACAATCTTGACTATCAGCATAGTACATAAATACACTTAATCGCCAGCATTATACCAAAATATTGTGAATATTAGAGTCTACTGAAAAGCTGTATAGAAAACCACGACCTAACCTAACCTTGGGAGTGTAGGAGGACAAGCATGTAATTGTTTTTACTGCAACATAGCATTTATTGCTTCTTAATTACAATTAGTACTTAACTTATAGCTATATTGATATTACAATTTTATAAAACTAATAAAACAAAACTAAAGTGTTTCCATAAATTATAAAGTAACTCAGGATATTTTCAAAATTTTGTATGAAATCTCTATTGTTTAATAACACTGAAAAAAGAAATTCTTTATTTTTAAAACTTTCGTATATAGAATTGAACACCAAAACTTCAACCTAAAATTTTTTAGTGTATTAACAGAAAATGAGGAGAATATTTAGGGAGGTAAATGTAACAGCACAATTATGTGTATTTATGTACTATGCAGACAGTCAGAAATGAACATATTACATTTAGTATTAAAAATTACTGTCTATTCGGAGGATGGGCTGTGACAGCTGTTACGGGCTGCTTTCTGTGTGTGTGTGTGTGTGTGTGTGTGTGTGTGTGTGTGTGTGTACTCACCTAATTGTGCTTGCAGGGGTTGAGCTCTGGCTCTTTGGTCCCGCCTTTCAACAGTCAATCAACACGTATACAGGTTCCTGAGCCAACTGGGCTCTATCATATCTACACTTGAAACTGTGTATGAAGTCAGCCTCCACCACATCACTGCCTAATGCATTCCCTTTGTCAACCACTCTGACACTAAAAAAAGTTCTTTCTAATATCTCTGTGGCTCATTTAGGCACTCAGTTTCCACCTGTGTCCCCTAGTGCGTGTGCCCCTTCTGTTAAATAGCCTATCTTTATCTACCCTATCAATTCCCTTGAAAATCTTGAATGTGGTGATCATGTCCCCCCTAACTCTTCTGTCTTCCAGCGAAGTGAGGTTTAATTCCCGTAGCCTCTCCTCGTAGCTCATACCTCTCAGCTCGGGTACTAGTCTCGTGGCAAACCTTTGAACCTTTTCCAGTTTGGTCTTATCCTTGACTAGATATGGATGCCATGCTGGGGCTGCATTCTCCAGGATTGGCCTGACATATGTGGTATACAAAGTTCTGAATGATTCCTTACACAAGTTTCTGAATGCCGTTCTTATGTTGGCCAGCCTGGCATATGCCGCTGATGTTATCCTCTTGATATGGGCTGCAGGGGACAGATCTGGCGTGATGTCAACCCCCAAGTCTTTTTCTCTCTCTGACTCTTGAAGAATTTAATCTCCCAGATGATACCTAGTATCTGGCCTCTTGCTCCCTACGCCTATCTTCATTACATTACATTTGCTTGGGTTAAACTCTAACAACCATTTGTCCGACCATTCCTTCAGCTTGTCTAGGTCTTCTTGAAGCCTCAAGCAGTCCTCCTCTGTCTTAATCCTTCTCATAATTTTGGCATCGTCAGCAAACATTGAGAGGAATGAGTCTATACCCTCCGGGAGATCATTTACATATATCAGAAACAAGATAGGACCGAGTACAGAGCCCTGTGGGACTCCACTGGTGACTTCACGCCAATCTGAGGTCTCACCCCTCACCGTAACTCTCTGCTTCCTATTGCTTAGGTACTCCCTTATCCACTGGAGCACCCCTGGAGATGTGGTTCATCTTGCAGCGTCTCTCGTTGATGTGGTTCATCTTGCAGCGTCTCTCGTTGATGTGGTTCATCTTGCAGCGTCTCTTGTTGATGTGGTTCATCTTGCAGCGTCTCTTGTTGATGTGGTTCATCTTGCAGCGTCTCTCGTTGATGTGGTTCATCTTGCAGCGTCTCTTGTTGATGTGGTTCATCTTGTAGCGTCTCTCGTTGATGTGGTTCATCTTGCAGCGTCTCTTGTTGATGTGGTTCATCTTGCAGCGTCTCTTGTTGATGTGGTTCATCTTGCAGCGTCTCTTGTTGATGTGGTTCATCTTGCAGCGTCTCTTGATGATGTGGTTCATCTTGTAGCGTCTCTTGTTGATGTGGTTCATCTTGCAGCGTCTCTTGTTGATGTGGTTCATCTTGCAGCGTCTCTTGTTGATGTGGTTCATCTTGCAGCGTCTCTTGTTGATGTGGTTCATCTTGCAGCGTCTCTTGTTGATGTGGTTCATCTTGCAGCGTCTCTCGTTGATGTGGTTCACCTTGCAGCGTCTCTTGATGATGTGGTTCATCTTGCAGCGTCTCTTGATGATGTGGGTTCTCCCCAGCTCTTGAGCCTGGAACCTAGTTTACCAGGGTATTCATGGCTTACCAGGATGTACGAGGCTAACATGGGTGTATACCTGGCTTACAAGGATGTGTACCTGGTGTACCAGGGTGTATACCTGGCTTTCAAGGGTGAATACCTGGCTTACCAGAGGACGCCCAACCCAGAGGGAGAGTGTAGGACACCCATAACTCACCCTTAGTGTAGACGACGAAGACACAAGGGGCGGCTTGTCTCCCGACGGCGTTCGAGGCCCAGCACAGGACTTCGACTCTCTCCTCCTGAAGGCGGGTCAGCGTGTACCGTCCGCTCAGGCCCTCCTCCCGGCCCACGCTCTCAAGCCGCTCCGGGGCGCTCTCTGCCCAAGCCAAGAAACGTGGAACATGGAACTAACGAACATTGGCACAAAGGAACATTGGAAATATTGAACAATGGAACATTGGAACATGGAATACTGAACATTGGAACATGGAACAAGGGAACAGTGGAACAATACCTGGCATATGTAGAATATTGTAGATTAGTGACACCAATTAAGTTTCTTTAGGAAACACTATTCACAACGTAGACTGTGTAAGTGTTGGCAGCCGTGAGTGTTGTGGGAATTTCCCAGCAGGTGATTATTGATGTTAAGATCAGTTATAATTGACTGGACTGTAAAGAGTGGACTGTATGATTTATATACCTGCCAGGTGCCACCACTTACACAATTTGGGGGGTAAATTTACAATGCTAAACCTACCTAATAAAGTTATGATATCTTGGGTTTAGTAAATCATAGTAATTAAAAAATCTCTGTAAAGTTAGTGGACTAACTACAATTATTAGTGAATAAGTTTGATGGGCTTAGCTGCCGAGTAGTTTGCGTATGAAACGTCAGAGGAACTTCTCGAGAGTCAGTCATATTTATCGCCTCTTGGTTGGGGTGTCAAGCCCATGTGAAACCCGTAAGTTGAGGCGGCTGGCTCCCGGTTGCTTCTCTCCAATCTACGGAAAACATACTCCTGCAGTGCTAATATTTTCCCAGTTAATCTCAAATGAGTAGAATAACTTCTTGTTAAGACCTAAACTTAGTCTGGATGTTTAAGATCTCCCACGGCATAACGGCCGGTAATGCTAATACAGGATTTATTGGCCATAAATCCCAATAGAATGTTAATAACTGACCGGCCACAATCTGCCTTGTCGTGTGAAGCTGGCAGCAAAGTCTGGGAGTCGTGAGACGGAGGATGACCCCGATATAGGACGATGGTAATAGGGTTGCTTCAGCAGGGATCAGATGGAGGTCGTGTTGTGGTGACGCGTCCTCCTCCCTCTCGTGGTGAACGTCCAGGAAATTACTCACGCAATTCAATTTATCTCGTTCACTAACGAGACGATATTAACGTCAATTTACGTCCTAATATTTTACGTCAAATTCCAGAAAACAATTTTCCATTGTTTATAACACTGGATCGAAAGGTTTTGCGTGACCACAGCACATTTAAGAAATGGTGAATACGTGACGTGATTATTATTTTGTCCGTGAATCAACATGTTAAGGAAGTGGAACTTCACCTTGGGATGGAAGTACACTTTAATTCTTGTTAAATTTAAATAATTTCCACTCTAAATAACAAATGAAATCAAATTGTCGACTGCTTTTAATAAGATTTAGATCAATAGATCGTCACGGTGTGAGCAGTGGCGGCTGACACAACAGCCTACCATCCATACTAGGAAACTTTTGGCGCTTCCGCACTAGAAATTAATATTGTTAGTAAATTTAATTTACTAACACAACTCATTTATCTTGCTGTGCTTGGGGTTAGTACTTTGGGTGCAGGGAATTTAAGCCAGGTGTTGACTGTGTAAGTGTTGGCAGCCGGGGGTGTAGAATGTGCAGGTGGTGGCAGCCGTGGGTGTAGAATGTGCAGGTGGTGGCAGCCGTGGGTGTAGAATGTGCAGGTGGTGGCAGCCGTGGGTGTAGAATGTGCAGGTGGTGGCAGCCGTGGGTGTAGAATGTGCAGGTGGTGGCAGCCGTGGGTGTAGAATGTGCAGGTGGTGGCAGCCGTGGGTGTAGAATGTGCAGGTGGTGGCAGCCGTGGGTGTAGAATGTGCAGGTGGTGGCAGCCGTGGGTGTAGAATGTGCAGGTGGTGGCAGCCGTGGGTGTAGAATGTGCAGGTGGTGGCTGCCGTGGGTGTAGAATGTGCAGGTGGTGGCAGCCGTGGGTGTAGAATGTGCAGGTGGTGGAAGCCGTGGGTGTAGAATGTGCAGGTGGTGGCAGCCGTGGGTGTAGAATGTGCAGGTGGTGGAAGCCGTGGGTATAGAATGTGCAGGTGGTGGCAGCCGTGGGTGTAGAATGTGCAGGTGGTGGCAGCCGTGGGTGTAGAATGTGCAGGTGGTGGCAGCCGTGGGTGTAGAATGTGCAGGTGGTGGAAGCCGTGGGTGTAGAATGTGCAGGTGGTGGCAGCCGTGGGTGTAGAATGTGCAGGTGGTGGCTGCCATAGGGTGTAGAATGTGCAGGTGGTGGCAGCCGTGGGTGTAGAATGTGTAGGTGTCGGAAAATCCGACACCATTTAATAATCATACAGACAGATAAGCTGTGTTGTATTAAACAAGTTACCCATAGAAAACGTAACTTGTAGTGGAATTACCGTCTAAAGAAAACGGGATATCATCACCACACACTATTATAATTCACCACCTATTATGGTGGGAATTATTCTTAAAATACATTAGTATTTTGGACTTTACCATTTTCATCATAAAAACATCTTATATAAATTAACTTAATTATCAATATTAAAGTAGAGTAAATGTGACCCTTCTATCACTTTCTGAAATGTGGACAATGTAAGCCAGGCGAGAGTGGGGAAGGAGGGAGCCATTGTTGTGTCACCTCCGAGACGTGTGGAGCAAATTTAGCTCCTATCATATCTGGACAATGTCGGCCAGTAACGTCAATAGTATGGAGTGTTAAACAGCCATTGTTTATACGAGACCAGAGGCTCACACGGGAGCAAATTCGGCTCCTGTTAATTTTACTTGGACGTAGTGTTATGGAAACCAAAGGTACCATCTCCAACACGATGTCTACAATTCAAGTTAAGTGTTCTTTCCGAAACCCGTTTATCATTCATTTATGGCCATTAATGTCAGGATATAGGGTGACCCGGTTAGATCACGTGGAAGCCTCAAACTAAAGGTATTTAAGCCAGGTCTTCATGTTCCATGTACAGTTTTCTCTGAAATACTTGTCATATATAGGATTCTGGCTTCACAGCTAGCGCACTTTTGACAGGTCAAGACGAGGAAGCAAGATTTGTGCACCAGTTACTGGGTGATATGGAAGCTACCTCAAAGAGGATAATTTGGTGTCTACACCCTAGTTATACCTGGTGGACTAACCTGCTGTACTATAAGATAAGGAACCTTTTCAATGTATGTAGTCTATTCCTGTAGTTTGATTGGCTGCATATATTAATTTAATAAACCCCCCCTAATGTGTAGAGGATCGATTTGTGAGATTGAGATTATTGCAGAAATACAGTCCACTTATCATTATACAAATTGCTATCGAAGTATATAAATTAACGTAAATATAAATTCATATAAATTAAATAAATATAAATCTCACAGGTCGGTTCCCACATTATTTGGTCATCTTCGAACCGGATGACGGATTATTTGATCCTTTGAACCCACATTTGGTCATCTTAGTACCGGATGAACCAGTTAACCAGTGGATTCATTAAATAAACTAGTGCAGTGTTATTTAAACAAAGCCAGTCAAAGACAGCGGCGAAGCCTCGTGGGAGCTCAGGAGCCTCCCTCAGCCCAGATCAGCTTCGTCAGCGGTTTCATGCACACCCACAGATTTGGTGGAGTGTTATTCTGTGAAATGACAGCGCTAATATAGAAGCCAGCCAAATTAGTGGCTGTGTCCTCGCAAGATTGTTCACGGATTTCGTGGTGTTACATTTCGCGAGAGATTATCTACGAATTTTGTGGAGTTTATTTCGCGAGGTCACTAATAATATTTAATACTTCTTGATAATATTAGAAGTTTCATAGAGGCTAATTAAGAGGCTATTATCAATAATTGTGTATATTATTTCTCCAAATAGAGAATTATTTAATATATATTGCACTAGTGATCACAGTATATTTACTAATTGCCAACCCACAACAGGGTAGGATATGACTAGTTGAACTATTATCGTTCATCCTAGTCCCATTATTACCATAGTCAGTTGTACTATATTGAACAACCTAACACCATTAATGAATGGTGCAGACCCTATTTTGGGTGTAATTTTTATCAACTCGAATTGAGTTGTATATATAATAATTTACTTATGATCATTACACCTTTGAGTGATTAATTAGTGTCTCTTCCATCCTAGGGTGATATAGAGGAGCTAACCTAAAGGTACTTCCAGTGACACTGGTTTATCACTCAAATCATTAGTGTGTATGATTGTATATATATAATGTGTATTAATTTTAAGTGCTAACCTCTAGTAGAGGTAGGATTATTGCCTAGTGAGTGCATTTTACCCTAGGCTACCATTAGTGTTTGTTCAGTATTATGAGCAGCCCAAGTACAAGTCCCACAAGGCTTCACCAACGAGCCAGTATGGATAATGCAGGGAGAATGAAAAGAACCCTTGCAGGTCTTAAAGGCCACTTAACAAGACAGATCAAGAAATGTGAAGATTTGTCACAACAATCTCAAGTTGATTATGCTGACCTGGAAAGCTATTATCAAGCAGCTGCAGGTAAATTTGAGCAAATCAAATGCCAAATGGCTGTCCTTGTGGGGACAGACTACTACCATCGATTCATCGGTAGCCCTACTAAATATCAGGGTATAACCATGTTAAACTCTGCAGGAGGTAAATTACTCTCAGGCCCAGTATCAAGCCTGAGGAGACCTATGCCTGCAGATAAACAATACCAGTAGAAATCTAAATTTGTCAGCTGATTATATTTCTCCAGTAGCATTATACTAAGGAGATTACAGCTGACTATACCAACAGAGGTTGATGTTAGTATCATCATTTAAAGCTGGAGATGAGTTCATGAGGCCTCAGTGGCAAATCAGTGAACAGTAGCCTAAAACAGCTACAAGTCACTGCGACCAATGTCACTGAACCCACTGCAGTCTCAGAACCATACTTTACTTTAATGATGAGCTATTCAATCTTCTGAATCAATTAACTAAATTAAACCCCAATAAATCTGATGACTGATTTGATACATTTATTATTTAATCAAGATGTATTCCATGGGCCTCAGTGTTTATATATCAGTGACCAGTTACCTGAAGAAACTTCAAGTTATATCTGATGTCACTGATCTCATTGCAGTCC